TTCCATATTGAGCAGATTTGCTGCTATTAAGTCGAATTGATTTATTCAGTGCTAAAAAACATTATCGCGAGATTTTTGAACTTCTCAAGTATATCAACATTGCTGTGTGGTCAATGAATTGACACGCATCTGGTAACCGAAATTTTAAATTCAAAAGCTCGTTAATATGTTTGCTTATACACACCTCTATGACCAGTTTTTGGTCCATCACATAACTATCAATGGTCTGTTCTGAGGTAATTGCTTCGGTTATCATTCAATTTTAAACCAGAAAGTTATCGATACTAAGCGCCTCATCCACCAGTAAGCAAACATTCAAAGGAACTGTGATTGAACTGATTGCTCAGGTTCTGCAGTTCCCACAATCAAAAGTAGTAGAATCTTCGCAGTATCACTAGAATTTCACAGATACTTCGTTTATATTGCAGATTTCTTATCAGCTACTCCATGTTGCTTATATCCACCTAAGTGAATCATTAGTTGAAGTGAAAGTTGTATTAAACGGATTAGACGAGTTCAAAAAATTTAGTCACCTTCTTGGAAAAACTACAGAAATACGACATTCAAACCGACAATCCGACAATATCCAGATCTTTAACTGTAAATACAGAACAATACAGAACTGAAGTACTTGAACAAGATGAAGTACTCCATACTCTGATCACATTTCGCACATCACTTACATCGAAACAATTTTTAAACAAATCAGTTCACAATGACATTTCTGCTGTATAGTACCATCAGACGGAATAAGAGACAGAAAGCAAATTCAAATTGATTTTCAAATTTATTATCAGTTCAGTTATCATTCATCAATGAAGCTGATAAGAGAAAGAGAACAACTGAATATGAAAATCTTAAGCTTAAGCAACATGCAGCCATATGAAAATTGAATAGTGAATGTTGAATATATCACACAGTCTTCTTTCGCTTTTGAGATGATAGCAAATCAACTGCAGTCAACTGCAGTTTCTTCGTCAAACGATACAAGACAAATACGAGCGAAAATTTGAAGATCAATGAAGCAATCACTGATAAGAGACAAGTGATGATCACATCAATGGTAAAATACTTCACAGTTCGGTAATTACCACCGTAAGGCTTCAATTCGGGTAATGAACCGAATTCAGCGATGAGATCAGTCCAGTGGAGAAGTAGATCACGAGATCGCTTCGCTCTGTTATTCAACATTGCTGAGAAACGTTTCGCATTTTGCGAAAACCTAAAATATCAATTGCAATTATTCGTGATATGAGTTGCTTATGATAGATTACAATCAGGAAGGCAAATTTATCGCTATTCAGTCGAATTGTTCGTGTACCTTTTGGTGCCCAATAATTTATGAAGTGTTGATCTGATAGTGCCATAATTGTGCAGATCAGTTTTCCGAATGTACAATCCCAATCCACGATACTCGATCACTCTGGCATTATAGAACTGATCTCGAATTAATGGTATTACCAGGACGGGCACACCTTTCATTGTTGCTTCAATTATATCATTCATTCCGCCGCTTGTTATCAATAGTTTCGTCTNCGGGCACACCTTTCATTGTTGCTTCAATTATATCATTCATTCCGCCGCTTGTTATCAATAGTTTCGTCTCATTTGGTCCTGTAAAAGAGTCATTCTCGAAACAGAGCAACATTTTTAATCTTCAGATTTCAAGATTTTTATTTTAAAAGCCAAAATTCCGGAGTTCAACGATCCTACGAGCGTAATATCAAGAAAACATCATAAGATGAATGACAATCGAAATTGCTTCGTAAATTCCTGCCTAGTAGATTTGATCTAGGCATCCACTGAACGATTTCAATATTTCCTCCGCGTGCAGCCAATTTTTCAATCTCTTCATTCCACTCGTTAATTTCCATGAGAAACTGATAATCGGGAAAGTCCGAAAATGCTGAAAATTTAGCAGAAAAGTTATTTTTCAAATGGTTTCAACCATAATTCAGATAGCAAAACTTCCACCAGCTTATTATCGTTGTACTTAAAACTGTTATCATCTAAACTTTATCGCCAAAATATCGCAAAATCAGTGACTAAAAATTCAGCTGGCTAATTAAAGAATCATTAATTTCAAACATTGTTAGTATTATTCTCTCTATGATCATTTTACATGATCTGTTATTTATTCCTAATTCTGTGCGATGCGCTTTTTGATATTTTATCGCTTTTTTAAAAACCGTTCGTAGCAAATGATTTCACCAGTTACCTTAGAAATGGAGTCATATAATCACTGACCTTGGAATAAATTTGCAANNNNACCAAATTCACGAATTGCTACAAAACAGTGATCACAGTTACCCGGGTAAAAAAATTTATGTGAAACTTTTAATGCGTTTAGAATCATCTCTTCTATACTTTGTAGAATTTGCGATCACTTCACGTTTTTCTTTTTCGTTTGATCAACAACTGCCACATGATTGTGTTGAAAGCTGACGAGATATCACTGACAAAACAATGAAAAATTCCTTACAATTAGGAATGGATCGATAAGTAGTGATCAAATCATTTTTAACCTCAGGAAGTTGCGTGTTGTTTTGGATGCGCAAGCCTCCGATGTAGATGGTTTTGTGAATAATCGGTCGAGCAAAATCCAGCAGTTCATCACTGTTCACGAAACACATCGCATTATCAACGATCATATCCCGTATGCTTGGGAAATTTGAATTGGTATGCGAGCGCAGTATGGACGTTATCAAATAACCACCATAAACGTGAATAAAATACGATGTTTCCCACCTGAACGAAGAGCAGAAATGATTTTTTGAGACTTTTGAGTTAGCGTTTGTTCATATAATCAAGAAGAAGTATACTCGCTAATATTTCCCAGCGAATCCCATACAAAATTCATTTTCTGCTGTCAATAACGTGTTTGTCTACCGGAAAAGCCCTTTCTATACAACATTTAATGATACTAGTAGGACAGTTAAATATTGCAAAGTCGAATCCAGTGAAATCATGTGATTTCAGTCACTTTGACTCGAAAATTTCCAGTATGCACAGCAATGATATTAGTTGGATTATTCCTTTCAAAAGCTATTAATCCACCCTAAAATACTTCTCTTCTGCTAACCAAAATACCGAAACTGTAATCTTTTACAAACTTATCATATTAAGGACCTTTGACCTTATGCCGTTCGTTTAAGTTCAATTGATTTATTGCTATGCGCAATACGTTTCTGGAGTGCGCTGCATGGAATGAGACAAAGTGGGATGCAGAATCGAAAAGAATAACAAAATTCAATGGTAAAAGATAAAAAACACAAATTGTGCAATAAACTGTATTAAGGGTTGAAAGCGTTGAAATAGTCGTCTGGAGGACTGGAAATTCTGACAACACTGCTTACAAAATTAGCACTGTAATTATTGGGTTATTGGGTTGTTGCATAAGTTCGTGCGCTTTTATTCAAATTGAATTATTACGGCGAAAGTCCACTTTTCCGGAGGATAGTCATACACCAATCGATAGCGTATTTTCTGCTCTTGACAAATGTATTACACCATCTACTGCAGTTTTGTTTCTTTTGGATCTTCAGCGTGACGAATACCTTACTGGCATAACTGAGCTTGCAGCTTCTTTAACTTAGCTTTGCATAACTCTCATAAAACATTTCAAAACATGATGTTCAGGAAAGATACTAATGAAAGTTACATATAAACATTGTGAATTCTTTCTCGAAGTGTCATAACGGTACCCAAATCGTTTTCCTCAACAACTGGAACGTAGCACAGAGGTCCTGGTACACCTGAAAATGCTCGAACGCTGAAATTTCAAATAATTAAAAGTTTCGGGAGAACGAATTGGATTCTCGTGCAATGGACAGATTGAATTTCTCTCAGAGAATCAAAATAGCATCCTACATCAACGGAGCATAAGGAAGAATCTGAAATCAGAATGAAAACAAGCAGAATAATTTCCAAACCAACCGAGTAAGAAGGCCACGTCCTCAGACATTGCCGCATCAGTTACTAAAATAAAATTTGGAATGCCCAACAAACGCATTATTCCTACACCACAATAATCCAACGATCCAACGAATCCAATTGTAAAATTCAGATTCCGCAGATAATTCAATTCATCGCTTCGACTGAGAACGCCTGAAATTCGGATCGAATGCGTCTCAAATTATTTTTATCCTAGAGATTTTTCATTTTCATCGTAACCAAATATGGAAAAAGTTCCGAAGAGGATGCGAGACTTGTGCAGTATTGTAAAAGACAAAAGACACCACATTGTTGCATGATTCGGACCAAGGCTTATTTCAGAGGTTTAAAAGTTTACTACTGATGTGCCTTGAAACAGTTGATCATATACACATTCATTATGATGTTGTTACTTTACACTCTAGAGAGAATATTATATTTGTGTTCAACTCTGCTAAAAGTTTCAAAGATACTAAATTCGTGACAAATTGAGGTCTGAGGAAAGCGCATGACATGCAAAGCTGAGTATTGGGAGAAATTAGCGAGTTCAAGAGATGAGGCGACTAACTTTCACACATCGATGCCATTGTATTCTGCCAGCGAATTCTGCCGGCTAGACCAATTGTGTCGTACTCAAACATATTTGAGGCATAATCTGATAAGAATCGAGTATATTCACCAGAATCAACATTCATTCGAATCACGTTCACGAGCTTATCGCTAATCGCATCTGTTTTTTTATACTCAGGGATAACCATAACCTTGAAATTAAGATTAGATTTGCAAGGGTTGTTTGCATCAAAATAGTACTTCACTGATTATCTGTTCCAAATCAATATAAACTTTCAATGAGTATCATTCTCAGGCTGACTGCACACTCAGGTTGATCAACCACTGAATGATTTGCACTGCTTTACGTTGCTATAGGGATTGGAATTTGGCGACGTCTGTGAAACCAAACATTATCCATCGATATTATATATAGTTTTCCGATAATAAAGAACCTTCTGAATCCGATTTTGCAAAGAACTGACATGTTACGTAGGGAATATGACGATTGTAAGCTCCGAGAAAAGCAAATATATTACTGACTGGATATTCTAAAGTTCAGAAGTCTAGGTAAATTTGACCAAATGAATCGTACGGCCGGGTGATCGCATTGGGTTCATATTCGCTCTCTAACACGATCAACGATTTAATGTTATTAGATTATCGAGAAAACCATTTTCAAGCAACCTGTGAGCTCAGATTTGCTAGAAGATGATGACTTATTCACAACTAGTGAGGTATCTATTCCAGTTAAACTATTCTATTCCTGTTCTATTCCAAGGAATAGAATAGTTCTCAAACGAGGAACACAAAGAATAGAGCCGTTTTTGAAGAGGAACAGAACAGAATAGAACAACTTTCAAAAACGTGGAACAGAGACATCACTATTCGCAACATGTTGCTGACGAATAAAACTTGGTCTTAATGATATAGCTGAATTTCCAAAGGTAAGCCATTCAGCTGAGCCATTCGTTTGTACCGACTCACTCAGAACATTTGATCACAATTTAGAATGTCACGAGTACCATTTTCAACCTGGCTGTATCTTTAGGTTTGCCCATCAACATGTCAGTTCTTTGCAAAATCAGATTCAGAAAATTCTCTATTATCGGAAAACTATATATAATGTTGATGGATAATGCTTAGTTTCAAAGACATCGCCAAATCCCAAACCCCTGTAGCGACTAGTCGAGCGATTTCTTCCCACCACCTCACTCTACACGTTTGGTCTCAGTGCTGATCAATCTAAAATATCCTGATGTGAGTAACATTGGTGTATTTTGAGCTTTGCCCAGTAACATGCGAATTCTTTGCACAATCGGATTCTCTATAATCAGAAAAGTATGTACAGCGTCGATGGATAATGTTAGTTTCACAGATATCGCCAATTTCCAAGCCTATAACATCTAGATGAGAGACTTCATTACACCTCTAGTCTTCCTGCATTTAATCTTGATGCTTATCAGTCATGTTTATCAATCCTTATCAAATTCTTGAGGCTACTCCTGCGCCCAGGTGTTCCCAATAAACATGCACTTACTGTGTTCACATTAAGAAACTGCTAGTAGTAACTTGCAAACATACTACCAGTGTCTCCAACGGTTTAAAGTGGGTTTTGCACACTGTCCAGTTTGATTCGTGAAGATATTCTCTCTTTCGGCATCAATCCCAGTGGATAAAACAAATAATCTCGAAGCTAAGTCCAGTAAAAGCAATAAAATCCCTGAAACCTACCACATTGTGTCCTTCATCTGCGAGTGTTTCTGCGATTCTTGAGAATGTTTGAACGTAGTTACGACTGAACGACGGAGTGTAAATGAGAATGTCGACGGAATGAGTGCTTGCGATAATGCACAATATGCATACAGTCAAAGATATCGGATTGCTACTATTCCTCTTCAGCATCTTCACACCTTAAAATGCTCATAACGTGTGCATTTCTCGAATTCAACGTCCATTTTATGCTAGTTAATGCATCATTACGCCATGCAGTCGTTTAGTCAAACCACGATAATATCTCACCGAAATGTTAGATCCTCGCTGAGTTATCGCAAGTAATCAATCCCAGTTATTCCCTAACACATCGAGAAAATACTCTCGAAGTTATGGCAGATGTTAGCCAGAAGTCGAGTCTATACGGTGAGACCTTGCAGGTCTTGCCCAGCTTATCATGAGTTTGATCGTGAAATTTGCACAGTTCAAAGTATTTGTATGTTATGAGTTGAAGAGGCTTACATAGTTACACAGTTCCGAAATGCATATGAAAATTTGTTTAACA